CGGGTCCAGAGGTTGTTTAATAAACCTCTGGACTTCGTCCGTCAGTTCGTAGAGATGCATCCTGACGTGCCTTGGCGAGGGCTCTTCTGCAAGCAGCTGTTTTTTGGGATGAACATGTCTGTGGGTCCCCACAAGGAACTTCTTGCAGAGCATTGTATTATGCTCCTTGACTGGGAGCATCTGGGATTCGTTGTGTAGGTGGTGTTGGGGCGTCATCAGGAGGCATCCGGTCGCTGTTCATAGTGCCGTGTTCTGGCAAGTCTGTAGTTTCATCCACTGCATAGGCATAGTTTAGAACCGGTCGGCCAATCGCCTTGTATGTTGCCAACAACGTTTCTTTTTCTTTGCCCCAAGTGCTGCCGGCCAGCGACTTGAGGACATTGTTGCGGTTCTGTACTTTGTTGACAATTGCGGTTGTGTGCACCGAGAAGCAGAGCAGACTGTCGAAGGTAACTCCGAGAATTTTTGGGGTTATTCACCGTCGGTATTGTTGCGCCATCAACGTGAATACCCATACGTTAAATATTTCGAGCTCAACATCGCCTGACCGGATAGCAATACCCTGACATTCTAGGATGGTATCCTTGCGGTCGATGTCTGCTTCAATAAGACGATACTGCACATTGTGGTGCGTGATGAACGCTAAACCTGCACCATTGCAATGCATTGTCTCGCTCGCGATCTCGACGGTGCACGTTTTATCCAGCGCAATTGAACAAGGTTGGCGTCGCGGGGGAGGTATGCGACTGGGCAGCACAGCAGGGGCCGACATAGTCACTCGTCCAATCACGCGTGTTGCGAAGTCCTGGGTATGCCTTAAAGTGGCACCAGCCAAGGCAGGAGTTGCACTTGACGGTATATTCTGGACTCTCAAACCGAGCAGATTGTTGGAGGGACTATGAGTTGCCGGCGGCGTTGTGTAGGTGCTATTGTGTTTGTGTGTGTATCTACTGTTGTGTTAGGGTGTGGGTGTGTTGGTGGTTTGCCCTGTTGTTGTTGTTGTAGCAGCATACAAAATCCCCAAAGAGATTTTGGGGAGTGTTGTTGGAGTGACAGTCCTTGGCCAGATATAAATCTGGGTTGTTCCGAGTTTGTGTGCAGTCGTCTCTGGCATACGCTGCAGGTGTAAGTTTCTGGACCTGGGTTGGACTCAATGCCAGCCCTGAGCAGAAGGATACGGAGCAGATGTAGCCCTAGAATAGAGCAACGTTTGACGGGTTTCGCCGACCCAAACGGGGTTAGATCGCCGAAACAAAAGCCCTTGGTCGGGTAAAACCAGTCATTCCGGTACGTAGAACCGGCTGTCGTGGGAATGCAAAAATACTCGCACGCGCAGCTTGGTGATATAGTGGCTTAAAGAGGTTAAGTGCTGATTTTGGGGAGTAGCCGAAGAGGTAGAGTCCGTAGTCACATTTTAGAAGTAGGGTTTTGCTTAAATATATAAGCG